TTAATGCACCTGTTATGCCTCTGTAAACAGACACGTACTTTTTCAGCTACTTTGATATGGATAGCTAAACTCCCTTAAATGCATGAAGGAATGTTGGGGGGGCATCACGCACAAGGCATATATTACTTTTTTTTTTTATTATCATTACACAACAAGAACTTGACAACATCACACACTGAAACAGTATGAGTGAACCTTTTGCAACTGATTTCACAGGTGTTACAATGTATTTAATTAAGCCAGTGATCACTTCCATAGCAACAACTACATTTCCCACCTTCTGGTTTAGTTAACCTATCCTATCTACTCTTACAACACAAAAATTACAAGCATTTGTGCAGTGCTGCTGATTCTAATGGTGAGTTCAATGTTTTTCACACTATTACGAGGTGAAAATGAAGCAGTACTTATTGCCAAAAGATACTATTCTAAAACAAAAGGCAGAAGCTGAAACAGCTACAGTCAGTAAGTACTTTATCTGTGAATATCAGTTTCAGACTTATAGGTGTAGGCAGGGCCGTCCCTAGGGGGTTGCGAATCAGGGCGACCGCCCCAGGCCCTGGACTTTGGGGGGGGGCCCTGTGGACCTGGGCAGAGTGGCTGTGCCGACTACACAACCGCCAGCTTCACATCCAGGTGCTCAGTACCTGCCCCCACTGCCGAATCCACCACCAGCTTCCTCACATCCAGGGTGGGGCCCCACAGAAGCCAATTTGCCCCAGGTCCCGCACCTTGCTTGGGTCATTTCTGGGTCTAGGTAATTTAATCAGGTAATTTAACTTGAGTTAGTCTCTGGTAAGTTTATGAAAGCATATTTTGCCTGTCTGTCTTCATCTGGGTTGAGGCAGGGGCACGAACAAAACTAACTCAAAGGGGGGCTCAGCTCTAGAAGTTTGAAGACTGCAGCCTTAATACCACTCCTCATTCACAGCAAAAGCACAACAGAAGTGCTACCTCAAGAAGGAGACTTTTTTCTGAAGAATTCACAGTCAGTGAAGGAGGAAAGGAACAATTTTTTTTTTAAATAACCTACAATACACAGTGAAGATGCATGTATTTTTTTTTAATTCAGAACCTGCCAGATGACTTGTGTACAGTTAAAATTAATTCCTTCTTAACATTAGAAATCATAGTTTCCAGGTAAAAAGCTTACCACCTAGGCACAAAACAAGATCAGCATTAAGGTAGTTCTCACACACAAAATAGAGAATTAAAAACATAAGCTATAACTCATACCAAAAAATTAATATGGTTTACTGAAGGACATATTGATTACAATAACACCAGCAGTTTCAGTTCTTACCTCCATCCACAGTATCGTCCCCCTCCTTAAGGATTCCTCTGGTCTAAGAGACACAAGGAAACGTGAAACTTCTGGAAGTGACACTTTCTCCTAAAGGAATTATTCAAGAATCAGAACCCCACATATAAAGAAATACAAAAAAACCCAAAAACCTTCTGTGATACTGCAGTGGTAATTCAGGAGAGTTTCCATCTGACAAGAAGATATTAACCTTCTCCCTTACCACCCACTAAGGTGCACTCTCAAGTTATTCATTTCTGCCTTTTTTCAACTGCCAGCATAAGTTCATCAGAACGTACAATTCCTATAAAGTAATTCCTATAGAATATAGAATTCCTATAATTAATGTACCTAGTTGTGGGAGTACACTGACAATTCAAGTAAAGATGTATTCACTTATTTCATTTTTTTTAATGAGGATCAGATTAACTTTTGTTATACTGATTTTTCAAAGCTCCAACTAAATCTTTTGATTGACAAGGAATCTCTGTTCAAGTAGGTCCACAGTGACCTACAAAATGCACAGGGAGTTCTGCAGTGATTGGAGATCCCTGAACAGAGGAAAAAAAGTGTCATTATACTAACTTAAGAAGAAAGGGTGCCAAAAGGCAGCTTGTACAGTACCCATAGCTTAACAGTGCACAAAAACAGAATGGGCAATAACTACCTAGGCAGCAGCACTGATGAGAAGGAGCTGGGGATTTCATTAGACTATAGACTAGTGGTTCTCAACAGAGATAGTGTGATGAAGGCACTCCTGCTACGGCAGCAGCCAGGTAAATCTGCTGCATTAGGGATCTGTTCAGCCTAAAGCAGGGAGGAGCTGGTTCGGCTGCAGCCCTTCCCAAGCCAACACATCCCATGCTCCCCATGGAAGAGAGGGGTGCATGGAACTGTTCCTCTCTGAACCAAGCCCTAATGCAGCAGGAGTGTGCGCACATACCACAGCTGGCTGTGCGGCAGGCATGGGCAGTTTTATCAGGAGGCAGTATCACCTGGTTTAGAAGCACTGAGGTAAGCTCAGGTAGCACCAACACTGGTTCTCAACTGAAGGAGTGCCCTGACCATGAAAAGGTTGAAAACCACTGCTCTAGACTCAATACAGTCAACAATATGATGTAGTCACAAAGCAGCAAGAGTTTTGGGCTGCATTAACAGAAGCATTGCATGTAAGACACAGGAAGTGATGACACCACGCTACTCAGCATCCTAGTTAGGCCTCAGCTGGAATATTGTGTGTAGGTCTGAGCTCCATATTTTAAGAAGGACAAGGAAAACTGGAGAAGATCCAGAGGAAAAAAATAAAGACAATAAAGAAAGTTGGAATATGAGGAAAGGTTAAGAGAACTAAGTATTTTTAGCTTAGAGAAAAGGAGATTAACATATGAAGGAATGAATATAAAATACAGCAAAACAAATTTAGGATAAATCACAGAAAAAAATTCCTAGGTGTAAAACAATGGAACAAGTTAACACCAGGGATGCTCTGGAATCCCTTTCTTCGGAGGTTTTCAAAAATATGATGGATAATCATTTTTCTGGAATAGTTTAGGAATAGATTATCGTTTAGGTCCCTTCTAACCCCATGGTTTTTTGCATTATACATTAACTGTAGTTTAATAAAATTTTTACTTAGAAATTTTACAGAATATCCTCAAGAAAAAGAAAGGCACAAATCACTAAGCAGTAATGGCAGGTTTCAAGTTCTAGTAAAATGCTTTTTGAGCTATCTAACACACCAAAATAATCTCTGAATTTTTAAGCGATATCAGGCTATTTAAAGATTGTGATGGAAGAAAAAAAATCTTTCTGGTTCAACTTAAGAATCTGAGAGCTAAAGAATAATCAGTGAATTAGACAACTGATATTCAAGACTAAAGACAGTGATATTTCAGCCTTAACTATTGTATCACCATCCTGACATTAAAAAATAGAGACCTGCAAACGTACATAATAAAGAAATAAATATTTATAATGTAAACTGTTGTAAGAAGCATTTGTACTTAGTACAATGAGGTCCTAAGTCTTATGGCAATAGAAGTAGATAGTATAGTAGAGTATTTGACAAAAAGAACCAAATTGTTTCTTACAATGAAGTGAAGTTACGCTTCCATTACTCAAACTAACACTTTTTGAACATAGCATTTGACCATTGCCAAAATTACCATTTCAGCAAAATCAGTTGCTCTATTTGGCAGCATTTTTTATACTGTGTTATCATCTATAAGACATAACTTACTATGGAGGAGGTAGTGGCGACACTTACCACATCTACTAAGTTCATAGCTGTTTGAAGAAGATAGCACTGAGCAGCTCCCCGTAAGAGAATCTGATGTGTGATCATAGTACACTGCAGGACATCTCTAAAAATAGGAAAAATGTGCACTTTAATACAGATTTATACATTTGAGCGGACTAAACAGTTCTTCACATACACCTTTACTGATCAAACATATTTCAATAATGGATATTAATATGATGGATTATAGAATCTGCTAAATGCTCTCTGCACACAAATAAAACTCTTCCTGAATCACATGGCATGCTATTTAATTAAATTAAAAAAATCAAGACCAACCACGCATCTTAATATACATACAAAAATTAAGAGAGCATATGGATATACTTCTACCTACTTCAAAACCCAAAAGCACAGAAATGAAAAGTTAGAAGAAATGTCTCTATTTGTAGGAATTAAGAAATGTATTGTAGATATGCAATAGATGTTTGGATATATTTTTTTTACATGAGGTATAAGCCCATCTTTCAGGAAATTGAATTTTAAGCAGAGACAGACAACACGGATACTTAAAATGCTAATGTTGGCAGTATGAAATCATGATAAGCCATAGATATGCTGATGTAGGAGAAATGGTTGATAACTAATAGAAAGCTGACTAGCAGGCCAAAGAGATGTCAAGGAGGTTTGCTCTAGAAAGTCTAGGAAGACCCTCAAAAACAGACAAAGAAAAGGAGGAAGGGTTTTGTGTACTGGGAATGACAAGGTAAGTCTGTTGGAAGTTTAGGTTAGTTCTAACCAGTTCAGAAGAAGGCAGATGTAATGAGAAATCTAGGGAGATAAAATGGAGTGATAGAGAGGGATTCTTTGCTAGTGTGAGCTGATCTACTGAAGCAAGCCAGCATGGGACAGCTAGAATCTCTCTGACTAGCCCAGCTGGAAGTATTCTGGATCAAATGCTTGTACCCAAGATTACTGTGTGGGTGCAAGTCATTAATAAGTATTGTAACACCACTACTGAATGTACAGTTAGTATTTTGTTATATAGTATTTTGGAACATCCATCTAATAACTGTATAACTGTTATTGGCCTTCAGATTTAATAAAAGCTTTCTGGCTAAACAGCTAACTGGATCATTCAAAATTCCACCAATGCTTGCATCACTTAAAACCCTATTAATAATACAATCAAGGACTCAAAAGTTTTTACTTCCTTTTTTCTACCAGGTACTGAAATGTGACACAGATCTTTAAGTTCATCAAATACTCCACAAAAAAACTTCAAATGCTCTTGTATCACTATATCAGCATATCTACCACACATTGAATAATTTTTGGAAGTTACTCTGTCTTAACACTGCTCAGGATATTGGTAAGATTTTTTCTGTTAAAAGTCTGAATTTGATTAAATTGGGGTAAGTGCTGCTTTTGGAAGCAAAAGCATAATTTATGCTAGCCTCTCTACCCACCAACAGTGGAGTATTTGACAACTTGTCTCAGGCGATTGCACAGTTGGTTGTAGGAAACAGCAGCACACTGGAGACCATGGGTTCTATCCCTGACTGTGGAAAACATGTGGGTACTAGTCAGAGACTGATGTACTTTGTTCATCCTGTATGTAAGGCTGTGTGGCTAAACAGCTAAAAACTGGGTCCATCACACTAGATGTCATGCCAGAATCTTGGTCTCTCTCTGTAGTGATCTTGTGTAAATCCTTTATCTTATTTATAAGATGTACTACAGTCTGGACATGGGGCTTGCTCATGGTCCTGGTTAATAACAGAAGTATGTACGTGGGGGGAAAGGGGGGGCAGGAAGTCACACCTAAACAAAAGCAACTAATATTTGAAATCCTTCTCTCCCCCCACTGTTCAATAGAGGGCATCATTCCAGACAGGTCTCCACAAGATCCTTGTTGTCAAAGAAATCAAGGAATAAATGTGCTGAATTAGTGCATCTCTTGTACCCCAATCATAAACCCTTCACAAGTCAGCTTCCTATGCTATAAGGATTACAACCAGCTGCACACACAGTGCTGTAACAAGGAGTGTAGAAGACTTGTGACGCTGCTGCCATCATCTGCCGTATTAAGCACGGTTTCTGCCACTACTGGCTTATAACCCTTAGCTCTACCAGGACCAACTAAGAAACCAATAAAACAGTAAACACGGAAGACTGCTTTTTTACATGTTTCACTGTTCCTAATATTCACTTAAATGTATTTTTTATTAAGAATACTTCTGCCCCACTGCTTAATCCATCTCCATACTTACCTTTAGAGAGTAGGCCTGTGCAAAAAGGCCTGTTTAAGGAAAGTCTGCTTGAACTAAGCCAAAGCAGAGGAACATTCAAATTTGGACAAATGTGAAAGCCTCTCTACTGGACCACTGTATGGGGGAAAATGCACACTGCATACTTTTTGGATGACTGGATAGAGAAAGAAACATTTCTTTTTAATGTTAAGCTAACATGTTTTGCAAGAATCAAATTCTGTTGCCAAGATTGGGTTTTTTTTTTAATCTCTGAGAAGGGATGCATCAGAGAGAAACATAATGCAATGAAGAATTTTACCTTAGTGCATGAAGTCCTTCCATTCCCAATGCTTTACATGCTGGGATATATGCCAGTGCCATAGACAGGAACAAAATGGGAACAGCACACCAATGTCTGCTTGTCATTTTCTGAATAAATTTTAACAGAAAACTGCCTAAAAGCAAACCAAAAAAATGACAAAGAGCAACTGAAATACTAAGACACTGTTGTATTTTGAACATAATACCCTAACAGATAAAAATCTTTTTTTTCAATGTAAATTTCTAATTTGTATTCTCAGACTCCATTTCCTGTTCTCTAAAATCTTCTAAATAGCAGGGAAGAAAGTAGGCTGATAAAAGTCCAGGTTTTGTCATGATGCACATTCAAGATCCTGTTCTGTATCACTTAAGCAAGACATTCAAATCAAGCCCTTAAACAGGAATTTAATATTTTATTTGGTTTAAAATTATTTTATTCAAGGGTTGTTTTAATTTGCAGCATATTTTTTCTTGATCATACAGTGCCATAAAGTAATTTCACAAAAAGGACATGTTAAGCTTTTCTGGTCAGCAAATAAATGTATAAAGGAAAAAATGAAGTACACATGTGTACAATATTTTACTTTAAATAAATAAATGCTTCTCCATTTACAACTAATAACATAAAGCTTCCCAGGAAAGCTCATGAACCCACTATCATTTTCATCTTTTATAATTTGCAATATGGAATTAATTATAATGTTGAATTTAAGTGAAGTTTTCTCTGGAAAAAACTGGTCTTTTAACTGCCAAAAGATCACCTGTTTTCTAAGAATATAAATATTGGCTCTCTTTTTCTGACCTCCTCCTCTCTCAATTCCCTTTTTCTGTAAATGTCTGCAGTTTGTAACCCCCATTAGAGGGAGCAAGAAACTGATGCACTATCAGCCTGGCCAGAAAACAGCTTGAAAGTTCTGGGCCCATAAGACAATCTAAGTAGAGAAATTATCATAGAGAGAATTTTGTATCTGAAGTACTGTTACTGGAAAAAAATAACTACACAGTTAATTAAAAAAAATACTTGCATTATGATTGTTCAATTACTTTAAACCAGTCACAGATTATAGAGTTGAGAAATAATCATGGGTATTACGTGCAGATCAGATGCCCAGAACCAGAATGCAGGGAATTCCATCACTAACAGGGATAAAAGATGATATATTCCTCAGTTACACTCAGCAGGAGTTCCTGACTGCTGAATACACCTTTGAAATCAGGCCCACTGTATTTATACTTCCCTATGAAGCATCCCTTATACTAGAGTTTGCCAAATCAATTCAATTTTATTACAAAACAATAAAAATGCACTAGATTTCTCCAAAGCTGTTCACTGTCACAGAAGAAAAATACTTCAAACTGACACTGATTTCTCTGTGATTTCACAGCTGCTGTTACCTATTTAGCAAATTATCTCTTTTCAAAGATAAAAAATGCCTACTTACTCTGTTTTAAACTGTTTGTGACATCTTGATTTAACATTAAAAGGTCAGATGAAAAATACACTGTGGAAATATAACTCAGATATCGATTTGTCTAATTCTGTAATAATGAATAAAATGTTCTTATTAAATGTAGTACTTGTGGCTTTAGTAATCTTATTGAACTTAGATATTTTCCAACTTACACCTTGATCTTACAACAAGGTCCACTTGAGGGGAACACACTGTCCAGAGACAACCTAGTGAAATCTAGGAGATGCCAGGCAGCTTCAGGAGGGGGAAAGCAGGTGGAGAAGAGTACAAAGTTTATTGCAGAATCAGGACTGCTGATTTAATGGCTTAACTGCAAGAAGTCTTCCAACTTATAGAAAAATATAGCCCAAGATCTTACTTAGCAAACAGTTTTTAGTTGTCTCCCATGGGATATATGAAGGACTCCTCAGGGTTTGGAAACTATTTTGATTTTAGTGAGATTTGTTTACCTTGCCTAACAGGCATGTTATATAGAACAATTAATTACTCATCTTACAGTAACTGGTTCTTAGAGATGCTGCAGTCAGCATGGATAGGTGTGTATATGCCCCAGGCATGCAAGTCCAAAAATTTTTGAAGAGCAGCATAATTAACTGGGGCTCATGCTTTGCACCGCCTCATGCTCCTGCTGATCAGCCATCTACAATTCCTCAGCGACCTCACAACTCAAACCCTGCACTAGCTGAGGCCTCCTAACAGAAGGAATAAATCACAGAATACAAAGTATCATCATCTCAAAGAGAAAGATATTTTCTTCAAAAAAACTGCATTATTGTGGATCCTATTCTTGTTGACTTGCAAATAATCTCTGCATGATGGGCATGAGAATATCAGCTAAATCAGTCAAACAGCTCTTGAAAGACTGTTTTTTTAAAAACTCCTTTATCCATGCTGACTGTCATTTCAAGGTCTTAACTCTCCATAAAAGTCACTGGGTTAACTCAATGTTGCCACCTGAAGACTTCAGATTAAAGCACTTCAGAGGGAAGCAACAAATTGGGCCTGTGTTCTAGTGGAGTGTTCCAGCATTTTCAGAGATGGGTGGAAATCCATTGTGTAGTACTTCGTAGTACAAAGGATTGCATTTGGATGCACTGGAAATGGCCAAAAAGAGGTAAGAAGATAAACTATTCTGACAGTGACAGAACATGGTAGAATTCCGGGAATGGTAGTATGTGCCAGCACATGGCACAAGGATCTCAGACATGTCCATATAATCTTTCTTGGGTGCTGGACACACAGCTTGACCAGACCTATGTGTAAAATTTAAATGACTATATTGTAGTATCAGTGCCTTTTGCACAATGTAAACTCAAGACTGGGACCACCTGAAACAACAATACAATTAATCCCATCTCCAGCTTTGGTATCAAGTACACCCCCACGCCCAACTACTCTAAAATGATTAAGTTCCTCTTTCAAAGTGATTACCTCTACCTTGTTACCACATTCCTCGGCAATCTAGGTGTCTGTGCCAGTTGGAAAATATTTTGGGATCTGCCCTGTTATATAACAATGACTTACACAGTGCTTTACAATTCACGGTCTAAGGTGCTCAATTCAAGTAATCAAGCCCTAGTGCAATGAATCAAGCAGTAAACCTCTGATTTAGGGTGTTGGACTCAAGCAATCAAGCCATATTATAGTTAAGCAAATGATAAACCTCTGGAGCAATCAAGGTTTTTGGGCATTTCAGTTTCACCAACAACAACCAGAGATGGATCCAAAAGGCTAACATTTACAAGACAACCAAAGGACCCTGATCTTCAACCCATCAAGAAAATATGCTTTGAAGAATGAGTATAAGAGAAGGGTGAAGCTGCCAGCAAAGGGTGCTCATCTCAGAAAAGAAGCACCATGTTGACCCATCATAACCTGCACCCAGCTAATGTTCCTGAGCAACAGATCCATGCCTGGTGAGAAGCTGCAAAGATCAGGACTGCTTCCTTGCCCATGTTGATGAGAAAACCACTATTACAGAAGAAATATACTGGACTTGATTATAGCTTATTTTATTTGTAGACTGCAACGGTCTATGTTATTTCCTATAAAACTTGTTACTTAATTAATAAAGCCTTTCTACTAACTATGATGGAAGTGTCATTTCAGTCTTCCCAAGAACTAAGCATCCCATTTTAATTGTAACACTGGGTTCTATGTAATTACCTAAACTAAAAGATGTGGTCCAGATGGGCACCATTACTCAACATTTTCCTGTTACACATGATGGAGCACATGCACACTGATAAGAGGAGCCACACTGATGGGCTCTCATAATCAAAAGAAATATTTTTATGACAATTTTAAAAAGAAAGCACAAAGACTAAAAAACTGTTTATCTTCAGTGTTTTCTCTTTAGAATTAACTCTAATTTCTGTTAAAACACTTTCATAAAGTACTGCCACAGCTTTTCACTGACACGTAAGAGCTCTTCCTACATTTTGACAGGCGCAGTACAAAGGGGATGACTGCTTTTCAGTTTTATCAAGGAATAGAGAAACCAGTTGTTAACATTTACATCAACTACAGAAAGTAGATTCATGACCTTTACAATGTTCTAAAAATAAACAAATGAATGAATGAATGAATGAATAAATAAAACATACTTTTTTCTTCTTCTGAAAGGAGTGTGAGGTACGCAACCAAAAACTTCTGTAATTTTATTCCTATGGGAGGACAGGCTCCTATCAATTGCCCTGGTGACCTGTATGGTAAAAAACAAAACATACACCATATACATATTAACAGCCTCTTAAAAACAAAGCTATCCATAAGTATTACCCGATTCATGAATTAAAGCTAGCCACTAAAAGAAGCTTTTCAACCTACCTGAAGAATTTTTAGTTTTATTTAAAAGTACTTTTAATACTTTCAAAGGGTACTGTAACTGTACTATAAAAACTCCATTCATGGATCAGATCTATGGTCCAGTTAGTCCATTATTTTGTCACTAACAATATCCAGCACCAAATGCATCAGACAAAGATGAAAGAGATCTTGAAATATGCAGATGTGGAATGATCTAACCTTAATGGAGCTCTCACATTAATTACTAATAGTTATGGGTTTAAGATCCAAAATATGAGCTTTTATATCCTTCCCAAAAGTGATTAGCGCTACCTATTGTAACTCTGGATATTCTTGGTAGCCATGTAAATGTCTAATTTCTATTTCTTCATATTTTAAAATACCCCCATTTAAAATAGAGGAGCACAGAGACTCCCCCAGCCATAAATGCTATCTCAATTTTATCTGGATTAACCTATAGTCAGCAGGGGTGTAGAAAAATGGGCCCTGTTCGATTCGGATTTGGCCCAAGTCAGGGACAATGATTCGAATCACTGATTTGGATCACTGTCCCCAATTTGATTCGATACCAATTTGGAGAATCAGCAATTCAGACAGACACAGCTTTAAATATTTTTTCTACATACCTCGAGGTACCAAGCACAGCTTGTGAATGCTGTGATGCTGGGGCGGATGGAGCATCCCACAGGAGCGTGGGGGGGCCCCTCATGTGCTCAGCAGCGAACCCAGAAGTGGACTGGAAGTACTTTCGGTCCACTTCCGGGTCCACTGTGGAGCGCACTGGGGGCCCCCCCACCTCGGCAATCAACCGCGGGGGGACGCCGGGTGCCCCCCTGGGCCCAGAAGGCACCAGTTGCTAAGCCGAAGGGTGCAGGGGGGGCCCCCAGTACGCTCCCCAGCGGACCCAGAAGTAGACAAGAAGTGCTTCTGGTCCACTTCCAGGTCTGCTGCCAAGCATGCTGGGGAGCCCCCCCGCACTCCTGTGGGACACTCCATGTGCCCCAGCATTGCAGCATTCATGAGCTGCTTGCTACCTAGAGGTATATAGAAAAAACATTTAAAGCTGTGTCTATG